GTCTCTTCAGGGCTTCCGTAGGCTACGAGTCCAACAGAAAGGGCTAAAGGCGAGCTATCCTGTTTATTATTTGAAGTCAAGCCTACTTTGTGATCTATTATTGAGTCTTTTGAGTCTAAGGGTGGAAGCAACGAGATATGATTGTCGGAACTAACTAAATCGAAACCGTAGGCGAAATTTTCAGAACCGCATGCAGGGACCAAGCAAGAAGGTGCTTCAACTACAATAGGGGATTCATAAACACCAGTAGTATTATCGTGATCCATATCTACCGGGACTGTAACAGCGGCACAGGAAATGTTTTCGTAGTCATCTGTCAAATGAGTTTCTCGTGTATATTCTGCGGGGCTAGGAGGCAAAAATGCCATCACAGCTGGACGTCCTAGTTCATCATAAGCAACGACTGTATTATCGGCATCTGATAATCCTCCAAAAGATTGGTTCTCACCCTCTTCTTGATCCAAATAACTTTCACAAATATGACTGTCCAAGATGGACATTTCATCAGGAAATGGACTTAAAACAGGTCTAATAGTTTCTATAGGAAGTCTTTCTGAATGTGTTAGGCCTACGTGCATTCCAATAAACAAACCTTGTTCTGATTTAGACATAGAGTATTCAAAATTATCTATGCAGGCTTCTTCTGTTTGTGCTTTAATATGCTCTAGGCGACAGGTAGCGTCACCAATGAGCCCAAGATGAAGGCCATTCGATTCATATTCCTGCTGGCCAGAAGCATGTGTGCCCATATTTTCATTATGAACCTCAATGATGCTCATTTCGAGAGACTGCGTGACAGGAAGTTGTAAATGACCTGTTGCTTCAAGCTCAGGGATGCTACGAGATGAACCAGATTCATGCTCGATAATGTGGCTAAGAACTTCATTTTCATGAGAAAAGTGACTGGAAGAATCATGAGGAAAACATCTGATAGAATCCTCTTCAAACTTTTGACCAATTAAGCCCGATGATAAGGGCCTTGCGGCTTCATCAGGTACGGCATGTTCACCACATGAGGATAATTTATATCGAAATATATTCGAACGCTGAGCAAAAAAGTTTATATCTTCTCTTCTTGCATCCAATGGGATAGTTTCAAGTTCCTCAAGAGGGACATATGAACCAGATATCACACCGACTTTGGTCGCCTCCGACTCAAATACTCGGTCTGGCTCCAAGATCTGAAAGGTTTTGCTTTTAGTCCCCAATTGTTCTAAAGTAATGTGCTCAGTTGCAGATATAGGCAATTTATGTTCCAACTCTAGAGTCGCAGGAGATTCGACGACTTCATGCTTAAGAAGATACATGTCAGTATCGCCAGCCTCATTGACTTCTAATTCATCCTCTTGTTCACCTTCCTCGAAAATGTATTCAGGTTCATTTATCTCCTCTTTTAAGTCGGCTTTTGGTGTTATTTCACCAAAGAAAGGTTTACTTAAGCTTGGGGTCGTATGAAGACGAGGTGCAATTAGCTCAAAACATTGACTCTGAGAATCATAAACTAGTGAATGTAGAGATGGAATTGTAGCTATATCCTTTGTATCTTCTAAAATACCAGCTTTTAAAATATCGTCATGGACTTCAGTGGTGTAAGAACGAGAATCTAAAATAGTGTCTGTAGCTTCAGAACAAGGCTTATCTTCATGATAGATTT